CCTCATACAGATGATGATGTAATGTTAGCAAAAAAAACAAAACATTCTGTACATATTATGTATAAATTCAACAACTAATGATTATTTTTATCATTGATTTATGTCTTTTTTTTGTTGTTGTTTGTTTGTTTGTTTGTTTTCTTTGCTTGTTTATTTTTGCCTGCCTGCCAGAATTTCCCAGAGCCCAAGGTGATGTCTGAAAGTTTTATTTGACTAATAGTTAAAAACCCAAAGATAAAGAATTTACAATAATATGGCAGAAAATTTAGCAGAAAAGCAGCAATTCCTGACATTTTAGAAGCTGAAATGGGAGAATGTTTAAAACTAAGACAGAATATTCAGATGACATGTCTTTATGAGAATTTGCAGCTATGACATCAGCCATACAGCACGTGGGTTCTTGCGAGGCTAACTTGTTTTGTATCCCACCAAATGATGTTGTTAGACTATGGAAATAACTATGAAAAATATACGAAGAGTTAAGAGTCAGGTGGTGTCACTGATAATTTTGACAGGGTGAGTCAAGTCCAATTCTATACGATTTAATCAATTTATTCCACTGAATTTGATCATGAGTTTGAGTTTAGAGTCACTGTGAAGTCAGAGAAAGCAGTATAAAAGATCTTACTGTTTAACAGAGCCCAAAATATAATTAATTAAGTATATTCTAAACCTCCAGAAGTGTTCAAACAAAATAGGCTATACTGTTGCTTAAGTGGCTGCGGCACGGTGGCGCAGTGGTTAGCGCTGTCGCCTCACAGCAAGAAGGTTCCGGGTTCGAGTCCCGGCTCGGACGCGGGGTCTTTCTGTGTGGAGTTTGCATGTTCTCCCCGTGCCTGTGTGGGTTCTCTCCGGGTACTCCGCCTTCCTCCCACAGTCCAAAGACATGCAAATGGGGACTAGGCTAATTGGATACTCCAAATTGACCATAGGTGTGACTGTGAGAGGGAATGGTTGTCTGTCTCTATGTGTTTGCCCTGCGATGGACTGGCGACCTGTCCAGGGTGTACCCCGCCTCTCGCCCGAAAAGATGCTGGGATAGGCTCCAGCCCCCCCGCGACCCTACCAGAGGATAAGCGGAAGAAAATGGATGGATGGATGGATGGATGTTGCTTAAGTGACAAACCAAACCATAAAACTATTTCTTCTCATTTTGTGTGAGGTCAGGATTTGCTCATACATGCATCAGCTGTGTAAATGTGCACCAAGTACACAAACTATCCCCCTCATTTGCTCTTCCTTTTGAAACAACCTACATACACTATAGCAGATAGGCTGACACAGGTCGACACGGTTGCGTAAACAGGACCTACAAATGTAGGTGGAGAGTAGGTTCAGGTGCTCAGGCCAAGGAAAGCATCTTTTTTCCCCCTTTTTTTTCAGCTATTTGAACTTGTCATAATGTATATATATTTCAGGTTGTAAATATAGCTAAACATACTGTGAAAATATATTCAAGGTGTATCATTCACCTTTATGGTTTTGTGTGAAAAAGGGAATTACTCCATTATACGACTCTGTGGAGCAAACACCCAAGGTCAAGTTAATTGATTATCTAATTGATTATAGGCATTAGTGTTAGCCTGTTCCAGTACATAATGTATTGTAGTAATAAATGTTTGAAACTCTTTCACACAGTAAATCATGTTTTAACTTGTTACTTCCCCTTCTCTTCACATATCTATCACAGCACTGTGTGTGTGCGCACAGCTACTGGTGCAGCGGTTTTCATCAGGGTTTCCTTGGACACCCTCCATAAGTGATACTTAAAAAGCGCAGCAGCATTTACAAGGCCTCGTAACACTGCAGAGTTAAAAGCCCATGCGGACCAAACGTGACGATGACAGCAGCCTCATCTCTAATCTGCATCTCAAAATCTTTTAAGCGATGTTATGTCATTCCTCCTCCAGATTATCACGGACACCGTCCAGCTCCTCCTGAGTCATCGTGGTGTTCCACGATGGTGTGCACATTCATATGCACATACACTTTTGTGGATAGATAACTACACGTGTGCAGTTGGGTAACTCCTGGCCATAAAGATCTCCCTAAAAGTAAAAGTTTAACAACCTTATGGAAAACCCCAGATACTATAGTAGAGATTTGCATGTGCAATGTTTCCTGTATAATCCTCTGATGGTATGATTTTAAATACAGCAGCACTTTTAATTGAAATCTAAGACAGACATATTATTCAGACAGTCAAATAAGCGTCTGAAATCAATGAAGCGCGTCCTGTCTTTGGAATTTTGGTTTGATCCATGATACAATAGCAAAGTGTATTCCAACTGGAGGCTGACTGATAGTTGCTTCTGTAAGACCCTGTAAGGCCCTTGAGCAAGGCTCACAACTAACTACTGCTTGCACATGACTTCACCAAAGAGAAACATATATTGAATGAAGGGACTGCTGCGTGCGTATGTGCAGACAGAGAGGGCTGTGCAAAAACAGACTTAGTGCAGTTGCCTTTTAATAGAAATAACCATGCCAGTGTGTGTTATTTGTATTCCTGTAGCACACATCAAATATGAACCTCTCTTTTTCTGACAATATTGCACAATTTTAACTCGCCCTTCTTTTTGACTGCTGAAGTCTATAGAAGATACTACCCCAGTGGGCCATGTCATAATGTCTCAGCAATGGGAGACACATACAATGAGAGGAAGACTTAATTTAAAAGAATGAGACTCTTGGATCAACTGTGCTTCGAGCTTGCCTTCAATAAGTCAGGAATGTGTGTGCCTTGTTAAAAATTCTAAAAGGAAAAATGTTTCTCCCACGACAAATAAGATGTTTCACGAAGGGAGTTTGGGGATTTAAAAACATAATCCATCAAAAACATTCCTGCTTTCTCATCGTCTAAGCCACCCTGTTTGAGTAAAACAGGATAAGCCAGGAGCATGGCACATGAAGAAAAGACAAATAGTGGGGCAGGAAGGATTAACACTGACTCTGTATACCCAGATAACCATCAGCTCCAAAAGAAATACTCCTCTGCGTACTCATTCACATCCATTATCATTAGGACCATTTCTTTAATTTCTTCCACAGAAATGATTATCATTGGCCACTTAAACGTTCTCGTGGTAGATCTCATTGTATGAGGTCCTGTCCTTGTGCTTTGTGTATACTGTTGTCGTATCAGATATGTGTAGGAAAATCCAGCTGTAGCTAATTACCGTTAATTCCATAATGGCTCAAATTAGACGTTTGTCTGTTCTCTGGTTAATGTGCTCTCTGCAGCGGGTGTCTTGTCTTCAGCTAAAGACATCACTCTGAAACATCACTGTATGACTGCGACTGGACTGTGTGTTTTTGTAGTTCTAACGGGAACCAATGAAGTGCTGAGTCAGATTTAAGCCTCTCCCAGTTGAATCACATAACAGTTTAACTTGATCTGCTTTGCAGTTGTAAATCAGGACCCTCAGTATTTCCAGGAAGTAGCTTGTGAATTATGGTGTTGTCGTTGTCCCAAGCATCCGAGGGATTTTACATTTGCCTCACAATGTTATAACATGATGATCGAATTGGATAATTGAGTTTTTAGCTCTCCACAGGGAGTAAGACTTTACAACTACACATTTACAGCTCCATCTACATTTTCCAGAAAGCGGCATATTTCCAGTGTTTTTTTTTTTTATTGATGAATTGACTTGTTTTCTTAGACTTTATCTTTGTGGTGCGATCAAGTCACCCAGCATTCATTTGTTAACTCGAAAAGCATGACAGCTCTTGTAATTTTCTTTGATAAAAGGCAGATGAATGTCGTCACTATTTCTTCAGGGTAACTGCATGTGATGTGTTTTCTTAATATCAGAGATACCATGTAACAAGAAGTTCCTAGAAAATGAGAACGATATAGCTATGCAGAATTTAATCTAGAAAATAATGTTATGCAGTTTGTGCCGACATGGTGTGTTTATGATTTCACTTTAACCAATTCACCCATCCACATGCATACAAACACATTAATTCTATTCATCTGGATAATTTACCATATATAGGAATATGATACTAAACTTGAAAGAGGTTCTGAAGCAAAGGTCTGGAATGTTTAAGGTCAACGTTGTGGGTGGGGATAATAATAGTTGAATGTTCTTTTGCGATTTCAAGAAAAATAAGCACTTTAATAAGTAATATATAAGAGAACAAAAATGTGTTTCATAAAATAAAATGCTTAAGTTTTCAAAAAAATGCAATAAAACTTGTAACTTGAGTTTCTCTTTTTCTTATTTGTTAACTTCATTTCATATCTCCTTTGTGTGAATCTCACTCACTGACTCAAGTCGCAGTGACTTTCTTCAGGCCCTGGATCTCAATCTCAAACCCATTTGTTCTTCATATTCTTTCACTGTTCTTCTAAGCAATTTGAGACAAAATTCCATATTGAATTATATTTGTGTACACTGGAGAGGCTTACTTATGTAACCCACCCCCAGTTTTAATTAGCCATGCTAATTTCAGTTATCACTTGGTCAGCTGGTTCACCAATTTGGCATGGACTAAAATGTCTCACCAGCAGAACTGCCATGAAACTTGTTTCAGAGCCTCCAGAGGATGAATCCTAATCATTTTAGTGATCACCATGTGAACGTTAACATGTTAACATTGCCATTTTAAGCATGTTAGCATGCTGACTTTTGCATTGAGCTGAAAACCACACTGTCCATAAGTACATCCTTAGAGCAACCAGCATCATCTTGTCATTAGCCTGCATATGTAATCTTCCACTAGTGCCACTTTACAACTCATCCTATTCACACAAACAGACGCATTTATGTGGAAGGGAAGGCCACACACGCACAAAGTCTCAGTTAAGTCACCTCTGCAGTCTGTGCCTCGTCTCAGTTTGTCTCTCTTTGTACCTCCTCCACCCCTAAGCCCTTTTGTCTGATAGGAGAATGAGGAAGAGGAGGACCTGGAAACCGTGGGAGCGCCGTGGAATGTTACTGTGAAGTCTCAATGAAAGCATTAGAAGAGCCTGTCTAGTATTTGATTCAATGGCCAAGAAAGGGCGAACAAAGGGTGAGAAGCCCGAAGCGCTCATCTCTGCCCTGCAGGCAGCCAATGAAGATCTCAGGTCCAAGCTGACTGACATTCAGATAGAACTACACCAAGAAAAATGCAAGGTATCGTACAGCATAACTTTGACCTTAATATTTAAAAGATGATTGGTCAGTTTCGATGTAAACTTAGTATATTTGAACGTAAACACTTACACGAAGTCTTACATCACATTAGCTCATTAACTTTTTAAAACCAAGTCAATAAATTAAGGTCCCGAAAAACATAAAACTTCAAGTGGAATCTTAACAGCAACCTTGGACACTACCAGTTCACACAACAAGTACATCGTGTGACATAATACCATACATGACATGCTTGTGTTTGGATGTCCTGCATGTGCTTAAGTCTGGCATATGTCCAGTTAATGCTAAAGCACTGCATGAGCTGCATGTGCTTTCATATAGTAAACTAAAACACATTGCCAAACGAGTTAATGCACAACACACACATGGATATGTATGTCTCTTAGATGGACATTATAGTTACACCTTTGCAATGGATTTGTTAATATATACCTTTATGCACTTTGGATTATGCTGATCATATTATATATTGACTCTGTACATATAGAACATGTACAGAAAAAGGATGTTTTGCATTGATGTGACATTGTGTTACAAAACTGTCCATGAGGACGAGGGGTTGGATGATTTTCTAAAATGACACGTGAGCTTATCATGAGTTCATGCTTCAATTCATGCGGGGGGGGGCATCCCTCCCTGCCTGCCTGCAGGGAAATTACACCCTTGTGATTTTTGACTTTTTTTTACTTCTCAGGCTACACGTGCCTTGTTCAGACTTCACTGCACTTGCCGACTCGTGGTCAGTGAGTGCAGGGGGCTGTCCAAATCCACAGTTTATTGAGTTCATCTAGAGGGCCTCAAGCAAACTGAGAGTCCTCTTATAATGTACTAATAATGTAACATATTTATTTTTGATTTTTCATGTAAATGTTTGTTGATGTAGGTTTGATATATTTTTTTTCCTGTGACTTCATTTGTCCCCACCACATCTGAAACCAAACCTAGAAGCAAGAATAAAATTAAATCAGAGAATTCATGTTGGAAAAACAAGTGTGCTGTACTTGGAGTACAGTAGTGTGTGTGTCAGATATAATTCCTCTCTCCTCTTCCTCTCGAAGGTGAGCAAGCTGGAGCGCGACAAGGTGCAGGAGGTGAAGCGGGTGCGAGAGCAAGAGCAGCACCGTCACACTGCCATGTTAACAGAGCAGCGGGCAAAGTGGCACGAGGAAAAACAAAAGGAGCTCCAGGCTCTCAGGGAAAACCTGACCCGGCAGCATGAGCAGGAGCTGGCACGCCACGCCAAGATCAAAGACCAGGAGAACCAGAGGCTCAAAGCCGCGCTGAGCGCCATGCGCGACGGCAGCGGAGAGAAGGTGAGGTTCAGATATGGGAGTGAAGTTGGTCTTGAATCAGAGAAAAACGTAGGGTTTGCTGCTGGGAAACAAATATACAGAAATACAGACACATTTCACCTAAAACAAAATCCCAAAGCAGCGGCTGTAGATCTGATATGTCAAGCCATATATGAACACCCTGCCTCTTCTTCAGGTGCGCACGGCACTGACCCTGGAAGCCAAGGAGGAAGCGCGTCGCTTCTTTGACCAGGAGAGAGTGAAGCTTCTGCAGGAGATAGCGGAGCTGAAGTCCGCGAAGAAACAGACCGACGAGGCGTTGAGCAACATGATCCAGGCCGACAAGATGAAGGCTGGCGACCTGCGGGTGGAGCACCAGCAGCACCAGGAGCAAATCTCCAAGATCAAGTGGGACTGTGAGAGGGACATCCGCAGACTGGTACTGACCACTATACTACTTCATACTTAACGACTGACTTAAATATAGTGATCAATAATATTAGTGAGATTGAGCACAACAGAGTTAAAAAAAAAAAATTATCACACCAGCTACATTTCTGTTGTACGTGAACTATGTGAATGAGTTTATTATAGTACAAACATACTGAATAAGAGTCTTGAGGTTCACGCAGTTCTTTCAAATACTCATGTGAAGTTAGAGCTCTGTATAGAGCCTAACCAGGTATGTGTGGCTATATATGTTGAAAATAGGCCTCAAGTTATAGTTGTTTTTATTCATTTCTGTCAGAAAGGAATCTGTGAAAGTCCATAAAATGTCTAAAAATAATATTTTATTTGCTTATTTTGTCCAAACACCAGTAAAGAAAATCCCAAAGATATTTAATTTATAATAATCTGCAGCTGCTGAGAAAGGCAGCAAATTCTCACATTTGACAATATGTGGTATTTTTGCTTTATAAATGGCTTAAAGAGTCAAAACAATCACTGCTCTTGTCTTTGTATAAGGTCAATGATAAATTAGCTACAGTAGACTGGCATTGGAAATAAACAAAGCAAGAGATATCCTCTCAGCAATTTCTTAACAACACCACTGCGTCTGTCCCCTTCACCACAGGTGGACGAAATCAAATCTAAAGACCGCACCATCTTCGCGCTGGAGAAGGAACTGGAGTCAACATCAGGGTTCTTACAGAAGCTGCAGCTTCAAAAGGACGCGCTGGATGAACAGCTGTTCCTTGTCAAGGAGGCTGAGTGCGGCTTGGGAAGCCCGAAAAGAGAGATTCCAGGCAGAGCCGGAGACGGAGCAGAGCACTGTAGCAGCCCAGTAAGGAGAGAGGAAGAGTGATCCACTTATTCTTTTAAAAAATTAATGTCAACCTATTGATTTGAACTCAGAGCCTTTCCCTCTATTCCGACCTCCTACCTCTCTTTTCCCTCTTTGCTTTTTCACTCTTAAATATCACTTTATAGCTGAAGTGCTCATATTCCAGAGCTGGTTTCAAGCTGCTGAAGAGGATAGAAGGATCTTATAACTATAACGTATTCAGCTCAAAACTTGCCTGGAGCATGAGCACGAGAGATGTGGTGCAGAGTTTAAATAGGTTGACATTAACCATGACTAATCAACACTTCAACCATGATCAACTCATGAACTGACCCCATACAACCCAATAAACTGTATGTAAAAGAGATGACCATCTTGTGACAAGTGAAATGCGGTTTAGTTTCAATTAGATTGAATGGTTATCAGATGGTAGCACATTAACATGAAAAGTGCCTTGACTCTTAAAGATGAGGTAATTTCATGGCCCTCTCATTTGATTAATTTTTTTCTGTTGAGATCAGCTTCCTGTAACATGCTAGTTCCTAATTCTTAGTAATACTGAACTCTTAACTTGATTGATGTGATATTTATTTGTATTAACGAATAGCATTATCTGACAAAATATTTAATTGTGATCACGCTTGTATTATACTTAATTTTAAGTTTTCTTTCCTCGTCACCTGGCTAGTAAGTGGATCAGTGAAATTATACATTTTTGTTTATTTCAGGACCTGAGGAGAAACCAGAGGCGCATTGCTGAACTCAACTCAACTATACGCAAATTGGAGGACCGCAACTCACTGCTGGTCGACGAGAGGAATGAACTGGTATGATCAAAATGATTTATTTCAAAATGAAGGATCTCCCGCTCTCTCTTCCCTCTGTCACTTACCTTCACGTGTCTGTCTTTTCTCCCAGCTTCTGTTTCCAGGTCTTTCTTTAGTTTTTTACCTTCCTCATGTCACCCACCCTTTAATATGTCCCTGTATCCCTTTCTGCCCACCAGCTGAAGCGAATTCGAGAGACGGAGAAGCAGTGCAAGCCCCTGCTGGACAAGAACAAGCTGCTCAATAAGAGGAATGATGATTTGACCCAGACCATCCAGAAGCTGGAGGATAAACTCAAGAGCCTGGCCAAGGAGAACCTTGAGATGGTCGGCACAAACTTATATTACCATTGTACATATGTTTTTGTAAGTGGATGATTGACAGATGGATGATCTCTCTCTCTCTCTTTCTCTCTCTTTGTGTTGTGTGTCTGCAGAAGGACAAGATCAGCTCCCATCCTCCACTGAAGAAGCTCAAGTCTCTCAATGACCTGGACCAAGCCCATGATGACCAGGAAATAGCCTTTCTCAAGCTTCAAGTCCTGGAGCAGCAAAGCATGATTGATGAACTGACAAGAGTATGTTTTTGTTTTTGTTTTTCTTAATGTGCTGAGGGTTCAGATTAGCATTTTTGTTTGAGATTACTGTTGATGTTTTCACTAATTTGCAGAGCAGACATTTGGGGTCATGGTGTTAATCACGAGCCGATGTGGAAACTGGATTTTCCTGTATCCTCCCTCACAGTATTGTGTGAGACACCTCACATGTCCAAAAATCTGAGAGTAAAAGATATTTGGATCATTAATTGTCTTGAAATTCATAACATTACTTATTTGAATGTTATTTTAAAAATAAGTAAACGGTGATAATCTCCACTCACCTACTTGCTGCTCTGTGGACAACTTGAAGTATAAATTACCACCACTGTTGCAGCATCAACTTAACATACTTGTAACCAGGCAACTCTGTGCAGCTTATTGTGCCTCTAACCAGGCATTATGTTTTTGGTTTGTCCATTCGTCCCATTCTCTCCCATATCTCAGTAACGCCTCCAGGGAATTTCTTCAAATATGGTACAAACATTCACTTGGACTCAAGGATTAGCTGATTAGAATTTTGTGGTCATAAGTCAAAGGTCACTCTGACCTTACAAGTATGATAATAACCTCAGTGATCAGAAAACCCAGAACCAAATGATGACCACAAAACTACTGATGTATGAAATGACAGAAATTTTCACAGCAGCTGGAGAACAAACTCTTGTTCACTGGAAAACAATGACAATGGTGATGATGAATGATACAAGGATAATGCAGGGCGAAGGATGGTGCATCATACCACGTGTCACACTTTTCAAATAAAAGACAGCGAATTAGCAAACATTGTCTGCAACGACTGCAAGGCAGCATCTGTGCATAATGTCTTTAATCATATGACGTATTCACATTGTAATCCCATTCTCATCCTATTTAAGGATATTTTTAAACTAACTGTTATCATGATGAAGAAGAAAATGTTACTTAACTGACCACATCTAGCCCTCAGTGAACTGTTTAAAGAGTGTATTGTTTATCCATTTCTCTGTGTTTTTTTCCAGGACCGTGAAAAACTACTACGAAAGAAAAGGCATAAAAGAAGTTCAAGGCCAATAAAGGTAGAAAGAATTGAATTTGTTCGTGGCTATTTATCTTATACTGCACATAATTCAGTTAAAGGAGCTATTTGTAAGTCTTGCTAATGCTACATAGCCAATATTAGCATTAATAACTGTTTACTTACCAGTCTACGAGAAATGGTGCGAGTTCATCCAGTTTATCAAACTTTGTTGCTTTACTCACCAAGAGCTGTTTCTAGTGGTGGAAATCAACGCTCTTTGTTTTGCTTCCATTTCTATCGTTTCTTTTCTTCTACTGAAGTTAACATGCTAACTAGCTAGCCCCAGCCCGATTGGACTGCCTCATTACTTTCCGATACGGAGTCCCTGTTGTGTCCAGTCTGCCCTGAAGAGGTAGCATTGCTCAGAGGGCGCGTTATAAACATAAACCTTTAAACGTAATGATGGCTGAAGACTGCCAAGACTGGTAAGGACTTGTTAATGCTAACAGTGGCTATGTAGTAATAATGAAACTTACAAATAGCTCCTTTAAGAAAAAATGCTCTGGGACAGTGTATTCTTTGAAAATATACCCTTGAAAAATGAGTATTCTTAAAGAGCCAAGTATTACTTAATGATTGTGAAACTCCTTTCCAACGACATTTTCAAAGAGGCGTTACTGTGGTAACACAGCTCTATGTAAAAGTTAGTCTGAATGTTGATATCATTTCTAGGCCTTGTGTGTCGTTTAGCAAGTCAGTGAGTAGAAGCAAAACCTCCTGTAATGGAACAGAAAACAAAAATCTGCACTTACATCTGCTAGAGATAATGATACTGCTTGATACAACAATGTGGAAGACACAAGGGCAAGCTTATGAGGCACCCTCAGACCGAGGACACTTTGTCCTGAGGTCATGTAAACTAGCCATAATGATTGTTTGGCATTTATCACTGGAGACTGTTTGATCTTTGAACTCGTCTAACTGCAGAGGCACATCGTAGTAGACACCTTCTTTGGGTATGACGAAGAGTCCATGGATTCGGAGACGTCCTCAGTGGCCTCGTTCCGGATGGACAGAACTCCTGCTACTCCCGATGAAGACCTGGATGAGGTGAGATCTTGCCAAGTTTTCGTCATGTTAACAAGAAAGTGTAGCTCACCTTCCATCTTTTGGAGTATTATAGTGACTGCATTTACATTGACATCAATATCCTGTGTGTGTGTGTGTGTGTGTGTGTGTGTGTGTGTGTGTGTGTGTGTGTGTGTGTGTGTGTGTGTGTGTGTGTGTGTGTCGAGAACAACAAGGGTCTAGCCAATGAGGAGTCAGAGCTGCGTTTCCGTCAGCTGACCAGGGAGTACCAGGCCTTACAACGAGCCTATGCCCTGCTGCAGGAACAGAAAGGAGGCATACTGGATGCTGAAATGGAGGCCAAGGTACATACAGGACACATTGAGAAGATCATTTTGATTTAGATGCTCCACCAATGTTCAATTCTGTTCTAAAAAAAAAAAAAAACTGGTTATGCCTAGGTTATCATTTATAACAACAATGTGCAAGCATAAGTTTAAGACCAGATCATCGAGCAACAAAAACACAGTCAAATAAGCTACAATAGATGAAAATGACATGATAAAGTAAATTGAATTTACTTACTTATGCATCTGTTTGCCATCAGTTCCTTTCTAAGTACCATATTTCTTGGAATACTGAACCAATAATGTACTCAAAGATATGAGGTATTTTGATCACCATAGCTAACTTTAGCAATCCAGTGAAAGTATAATTTTTGTAATGTCCTTCCTTAATTATGTTGGCGGTAGGTTGAAGTGAGGTCATAGTTCATCGTTATATAGCTGCAATAAAGTTGTGGGTATTGAGTTACGCGGAATTTGATTATCTCTAAACTGAAACATTTAACACGCAATTTTAAAAACAGCTTTGTAGTTTATTCTGTTATACAAGAGTGGTCATCTCGGGACCCTGTTGAGTGTTGTCATGTGGTTTATTTTAACAGGGTGATGTTTCACCTTTACTTCTCAGTAAAACACAGAGGAAGTGGATTGTTGTGTAAAATGTCTTAAAAACTAGGACAGCCTCACGTACGGTAGGTTGGGATCTAGTGCAGTGGTTCCCCGCCCTTTTTTAAAACTTTGTGATTAGTTGACGTGCCTCAAGGACCCTTCCCCTGACTCTTGGCATCCCCCAGCTGCACATTTCTGACTCCGCCTGTACATGAAAAGTACATGTACGAAGCCTCATTCAAGTCAAATCCCTGCAAACTTCATTCAATGACAAGCTATTTTAAGGCGGGTTCTTGCATAGCTTTTCTGGGTCTTACATTACAGTTAATAGAATATTTGAGGGGTTTAGCTGTTGGGTGGATAAGACGAGAAAATCAATCTGTACGCATTTATGTTTTTTTTTTTTGTTGTTGTTTTTTCCCCATGGACCCCTGGTAAAACTGGCATTTTGCTCATGTTTCAGGCCACAGAGCAGCTCCATGCAGACGTTCTCAGGTATAAAGCCAAAATCGAGGACTTGGAGAAGGAACTGAACCAGAAGGGACAGGTAGGACACACAAGCACATAGCCTACATGAACGAAGGCACCTGCATGTACGTACGGAAGAGAGAGAGAGAGAGAGAGAGAGAGATAATTTAAAGATAACGAATCAATATATTGATAGATGTACAATGACTTTACTTTGTCAAAATCTTGGGACACAAAATGTGTCGTAGCTCTGATTTAAAGCATCAACTGTCTCTGTCCTCTACCAGGACTCCAAATGGGTGGAGGAGAAGCAGCTCTTCTTACGGAGGAATCAGGAGCTACTAGAGAAGGTTGGAGTCAACTTAAAGATCGTTTTCCAATAATCAAACACATACAGTATTGCGAAAAATGTTTGACAGTGTAGATTGCACCATTTGAAAAATACAGTCCGAGGAATCTGACATGCCAGAAGTTTTTTTTTTTTTTAAGTTTTTCTAAGTGCTTTGGAATGAATCAATTTGACAACACCTGTCACAGATGGTATATTTGATAATTAGCATTTTCCAATTGAGGAAGTTTCTTACAGTCAAATGTACTTGCAACTCCTACTATATAAGTGTGTGGACAACTTCCGCAACCCGCTCATTCATTCTGATTCTTTATGGTGTCCAGGTGGAGAAGATGGACTCAGAGTGCAGTCGGCTGCAGCAGGAGCTACAGGACTCCAAAGACCAGAACGAACTGTTAGAGTTTAGGATACTGGAGCTAGAGGTGAGCCGCAGAGAGTTTCCTACTAAGCCTGCGTTACCGTAGCATGATAAAAGTTCCTGTGTGGTGAGACCATAAGATCCTGAAAATGTCATAATGAGCCCAAAGCGACCTCAAGATTTTTATAGCCTAATAAATGGGTCTTGTGAGGTAAACCCAGCATTCTGTCAAATCCAAAAGCGTTTTGGTTGTCAGGTTATGGATCCAGCACTGTGAGTCTAAATCATTTTATTGGTGCTGTACTGAGTTCCAAAAAACATTTTCTATCCTGAGAGCACACACCCTAAGATCATTTTATAGGCACCAGAGCTAGTTCTTAATCCTTCCAAAAAATCCTGTCAGCATATTCATTGTCTGAAAATAACGCTGATGATGAAAGAGAAATCTCACATTTTATTTTTGTTTGGTAAGCAGTCTAAATGTTTTTCGCTTGTTATTGTTTTTGTCTGTTTTGTAAAGAACAAGATCGTGTCTCAAATGAGTTTAGCCAAAATGTTAGTGGTACTTTGTCTTAACTGTACTTTTCCAGCCACAGTGATCTCATAGGCTGGTTTTTAGTTCAAACGCTGGCGCTTCTTGTAAATGATTTTAAATCCACTGCAACTTCAAAATGAAGGTCAGAAGAATTACATTTTCAAAGGGTAAAGAGGAAAATCAGGCGTTTTTAACAGGTGAAATATCTCATGTTGTGGAATGAATCCTTGCTTTACCATGTAAAACACTAAAATTTTCACATGCTGGACACCTAATCAAGTCACATTTTCTTTTATGTTCAATTTGCCTGTCAAGTTAGTCACCAAGCAATAAAGACAGGCAGCCCACCAGTCCGTCAGTCAGGCTGATCGGTAGCTGACAGTGGTCTTTGTGTTGTAGCAGTGCTGTAGTGCAGATACACGAACGCAATACAGGAGAAGAGATTGCTTAAATGTGCGCAGTACAGTGTTGAAATCAGCTGATGCAAAATAACAGTGATTTTAAACTTAATTTGAATTAAAAGGGTTTTTTTTTCTGATGCTTCTTTGCCTGGAATTTTGGGTAGTTAGCATTTTCATGGCTGCAAAAAAGCAAAGAGCACCACCAACTGAAACTTAAACATCACTGAAAACATGAATAAAAAAAAGAAAAAAAAGTGGGATTCATTTAAAAAAAAAAAAAAAAAAGAGGAGCCTGTCAGTTCGTCTGGCAGCCATATGAGCATCTCTAAAGTGTCACAGAGGTTCTCTCTGTTTGGAATAAATGAGTACTACTGTTATTACAGTCTAAAGTAAGAAATCTGAAAATAGTCACCCAGGTCTGAGTGGAGAGGGACTCATGATGAGGGTTAAAGTGAGTCAGTATAATGAAATGTGTCTGTCGTTGTAGGAACGTGAGAGGAGATCCCCCCCATTCAACCACCTGAGGATGCATCCCTTTTCTGAGGGAGTCAGTGCTCTGCAGATCTACTGTATGAAGGAGGGGGTGAAGGTATGCAGTGAAAACAACTTTCGTGCTCCGTCATAGTAATTAATCATAAAGTAGAGATGGTTCCCGGCGCCGGGGATCCCACTGTAACTGGTAGCAAATGGAGAGCTGTGCATGCTTTTGTTTTTAGTTTAACAAGTTTAACAAGCAAATACACTTTTTGTAAATGAAACATAAATTACATTTTATTTATTTTGTTTCCCTCACAGGATGTGTGCATACCAGATCTCATTAAACTTCTAGATATCCTGGGAGATAATGGGGTAATTGATATAAATTTAACACATCACCCTATGATGCTAAAAAAAAAAAAGGCACATTATTAATTAAGGTTTTATATATTTATATATTTTTTCCTCCCCCTTTTGTATAGAACTTAAGAAATGAGGAGCAAGTGGCCATTATCCAGGCGAGCACTGTTTTGTCACTTGCAGAAAAGGTAAGTTTCAGATAACAAATCAAAGATCACATTTTTAAAAGTCAACACACAGAATAGTTTGTGCTGCACTGACTCGTGTTTTGCTGTTTGTTGCCCTCTAGTGGATTCAACAGATCGAGGGGACAGAGGCAGCACTGCACCAGAAGATGGTGGACCTGGAGATAGAGATGGTGAGTCACAAGAATCCCCTACAGGAAAATACTTTTGATATGATTGAACCTGCCAGTATTATCTCTTATCTGTTCACATCAATTATCTATGTAGTCAAATGACTTAACAAAAATCTCCTGCATTGATTTTTACATAACACTTCTTGTTGAACTAACATTGGGCTATTTGATTTACATTTCCTCAGATATAATATTATTCTTTTTGCAGTATGCATGCTCACAGTTCAAAGCATCTTCTCTTCAGCCAATATTAGTGTTTCTCTCGCACTCCTTTGATTTCCAACAACGTGCATCAAAAGAGTTCGGCATTCCTTTCATTTAGTGGCAAAATCAGATGAGCTGCAGCTGGACTTACTTACTAATACTATAGTCACAGTATATAGAAACTTGGAAAAAAAACTGCAGTGGCACAAAAAGATCGCACTCCTGACCTGTTTTTTTTTTTTTTTTTTTTCTGTACAGGAAATGTTCTGTAAACAGAAAGGATATCTAGAAGAAGAGCTGGACTACAGGAAACAGGCCCTGGACCAGGCCTACTTGGTATGGTTGCATGTCTGTATGTTTATACATCACATTATGGGGCCAAAACATACTGTCACGCAGTCACAGTGTGTGTGTGTGTGTGTGTGTGTGTGTGTGTGTGTGTGACATTAATGGTAATAACTGCCCCCTCTTTCTCTGAACAGCAAATCCAGGAGTTGGAAGCAACGTTATACAACGCCCTGCAGCAGGACAAGGTTCTTTCATTTCATTCAACATATTGCAGTGTTATTGTTACAAAAACAAAATTTCAGGAGCGAGGTTATTTCTAGTGAAGACAACAGTTTAGAAAATGTCAAGAAATGCGTCATCAAAAATGGTTATTAATTTGCTTCTGACATGCAGCCTTGTGATCACACAAATCCCATTATTCTGGAACAACTCATGGTATCTACATGACCCATTCACATGGTTTCTTGCAAATGATTATAATGAAAGACTTTGAAATTATGAATGCAGATTAGAAAACAGAGGCTTCTAGGAAACATAAAATTACTGAAAGGCTTCTAGAAATCTGATGAAGCCTCTGCTGATATAAGAAGTGTGTAACATATGTAAGAATGGAAGAGATTTTTTTTTTTTTTTTCTTTGCTTTTTTAGTCCATCACGGTACTTAATGTGTGTGACACCTGTCTCTTTCCTCCAGGTCATAAAGTACGGCGAGCCCCTGGATGAGCTCCAGAGGGACGAGCTGCGGACGGCGGTTGAGAAGCTGAGGAGGCAGATGCTGAGGAAGAGTCGAGAGTACGACTGCCAGATCCTCCAGGAGAGGATGGAGCTGCTGCACCAGGCGCACCAGGTCCGTCTACGTCAACCGCGGCGATAGATGAAGCTTTTCTCCACAAATTAAAAGGATTTCTAACTGATTTCTCTCTGAATTGTTTTGCAGAGAATTCGTGACCTTGAAGACAAGACAGAAATCCAGAGGAGGCAGATTAAAGACCTGGAGGAAAAGGTAGGACAAATGTGATGTTTTTCTGTATATGTGACAACTAAAGACCATAGAACTCACAATGACACATTCATTAGTTGTTGATTAGTCACAATTAAAGGGATCTTTTTTCACCATAAAGTGTGTGGAATTGTTTATTAAAATTATTATTGAATTGAGTGTTAGTAAGAAATGGGAATTAGGAACACAGCACAAATGCCATGAAATGCTTGGAGAAATATGGTTTCATAATTGATACGGTTCCAGCTTCTCTTTACAGTGAATCTCTGTGTCCTTCTCTGCTGTTGCTAACATATCTCGAGTATTCCTCTAATTCTCTCACTTTCTTCCCCCCTTCTTCATCTCCTTTCTTTCTTTCTACAGTTTTTGTTTCTATTCCTCTTCTTTTCTCTTGCCTTTATCCTTTGGCCTTGAAGTCTTTGGCGTGTCCTGTAGCAGAGGTGAGTCCTGTGGGCTTTGAGTAGAAAGCTCAAACCACCACCGTCTCTCTTCTGGACCTTGGTCAAATAGTTTCCCGTTAAAGCAGAAGCTGCACAGCAAGTGTTTTTTGGCTTTGTGCTGCTGCCAAAGTAAAAACTGGGAATTCTCGGGCTGCTCTGCCTGGATCGGCCTTGACAAGTGGGCAGTATTAATAACACTTCCTGATAAGGTCATCTGACCTTTTAAATAACAGCAATGAATTTCTGCGTATATTAAGAAACGTATTTTAATTAATCTAATCTAATCTATTAATGTACTCAGTATATCAATATATCAAAAATAGAAATAGTGTCCTAATAGCACTGTAGATGCTGCACATAATACATTGATAATCAGCCAGTGAGTGCAGAGTTTAAATTGAACAAACTGTACATGACTTGTCATTAACATTAAATCTGTAGTTGTTTCAAAAAGGAAAATACAGACCGACCACAACTGTACACTGGTGACATCTTGAGATGGTTGGCTCTTGTGTTTTTTGCTCACAGTGTGACCACTAGGTGGCTCAGTGCCTCCCAGCAGCAAAAACGGATTTGACCCTGGTCTGCTCACTCTCCCGCCTACACATTTACTTGTTTCACCTTGCCTTGACTCAGAAATATCCAACTCCCATTACCTCTTTCTCTTTTCTACACCTTATGCATTTCTGTTAATCTCCATGTGTTTTTTCCCATACTACATGAACATCTTTTTTCTTTTTTTTCTTTTTTTTAATCTTATTGAAAACAGAACAGATGGCAAACAGTGGCGCCAACATCACCACCTTTTCTGTTTTGTGTATTTGTCTTTTGTCACCTCTCAAGTTTTAACCCATGTTTCTTTTAACCCATGTGTGTGTTTTTTTTTAGTTACGCCAACAGTTTTCCAGGTTTGTAAAGGGTCTTACAGGAGAATTCAGTCTGTGATTTTTTAACAACCTGAGTCACAGCTCTTACCTTTAATGCTGCATTTATAGGTTTTTCAGCCACTTGGGAGAGGGGGGGCAATGCAACTAGCTATAAAAACAACACTGACACATTATCACCAAATAAAGTTGTTGTGGGTTAGCAAAAAATAACATATTTACACATCTACATCCAGCAGATGTATTGCTGTGCTGGGCAGGTAGCATACAGCTAGGTGCCTGCGTCAGCTGGAAATGTGAACCAAAACAATGAAGCTGCGGAAGGTAAAACCAAAACAGTTAGCTGAAAGATGCTAAAATGCTCACTATGAGGGGAAGTGCAGAGTCCATCTCTGTGGGACATTAAAAAGAATATCAAAGAACTGCCATAAGTTTATTAAAAAGCCATACTTGGAATAATTTTAGCCTGGAAAGTATGGTAACAGTATGGATTACTCATGTAGTGTACTGTACCAGATTTCTTTCAGTTATTTTAAAGAGTCTGATACAATAAACATTGATTGCTCAATATTATAAAATCTGCAGGTTGTGTTAAGTTTGCTTTGATACACAGTTCTTTTGACCGTTTTAATCCTCTATGACTCCTCTCTCTCCGTCTCCCTCCCTGTCTGTCTCTCAGGTGGTGTGTCAGCTTGGAGATCTTGTTTGTGACTACAGTGTTATTTATTTTCCGGACAAGCGTGGAACAGTGTGTGTAGCAGTGACTGCTGTCAGTGTAAGGTGGATGTGTCGTGGATGTTCACACTTCAGATTTTATTCTTTCTTTCTTTTCTTTTTTTAATTGGGATGGGGTTCTCAGGATGCTGCCCAGGATGATTTTTTTTTTTTTTTTTTTTTACACAGCGGTGTTGGACATTAAACATCTCTCCAAACAAGAGTGCAACACACAGTTAGAAAGACTTGCAATAGATGCAGACACACACGCACGCACACACATACATACGGTTTACCGACACGCATGCATATACAGAAGCATGCAGATGCAATCACCCAATTACACACACACACACACACACACACACACACACACAAACACATACACACATGCTTTGACAAATCCAAACCAAAGCCTGGGAAATGTTCTCTCTGCCATGCAGGGTAATAATATGTCATACACCACCATTTAGCCACAGTGGGAATATAAACAGACAGAAAAACTCATAGACAACGAGGCAAACAAACCACCAGACCACAGCTTCTCTTCTTTTTCTCTTCATTCCTTTACTTTCCAAACCTGAAAGGACGTTCCACACGAATGCGACCTCTCGGTGAATAGAAGCGAGCCAACTCAGGGGCCCTTGAGTGCAGAGGCCGTTTTTGAACAGTGCTGGTCTCAGGTCAGATTATATTAAGGAACACTCGGGACGTGGTGTCTCATCGGTTGGCCTGCCCGCACTGTTCCCAGGATGGTGCTTACACAGACTGCCTGGACTCTCCAGAGTTTATACCTGGAAAAAGACAGACCTACACTGCAGAGACTGGTGTGTACAGACACTAAAAGGGGGGGATACGGGACACTCAGGTTGACACGTCCTCTCCGGACACACATAACACTCTCTCTCGAGTGAAGAGAGATAAAAAGAGAAAGAAAAGATTATGGGGGGGGGGGCACACTCTCTGATCCAGCTCCACTCAGCCTGGATCGCCACAGAAAAACCTACGGATTGTCAAACCGCATCTTAATTTTTTCTCAAAAGCCAGCAGACTGTAAGAGCTTTACTCTCTGGTTATCTTCTGTTTTTTTTTTCCCCTCCTTTCTTTTTTACAGCTCCCACAACTCAGATACTGTGTCCCAAGATTTCCACCGAGAAAAAAATGCCTATTCTGTACTGTAATATATACATTTGTTGATATGTACATGAGTCTGAATTATTTCATGTAGTCTCTCCCCTTTTATTTCTGTGAATAGTTTCACTTTTCTTTTACTCTCTGAAGCAGCTTGAACAGTTGATGTACTTGGCAGTTTATAAATGACTTAAAAAGAGTGTAAATTGCTCTGTTTTATTGTGGTGACGGCTGCAAAGATTCATTTTACTTCCTTGAAAATAATAACTGAAAAATCGTTGGAATATGAATGTGGAATAATGGAATATTTGCCTCCCCCATTCCTTTTCCCCATCCCTCTATCATACAGTCCACTGGATTCATTACTCTATGTGTTGCTCTGGTTGACCAGCAGGGGGTGCTGGTTTCACCTGAGCACCTTTCAATTCGCCCTTTAAAGTTACTTGATCTTTAAACAAACTTGTAAATATTTTCAGATACCCTGCAAAATATCTTTATCCCCTCTGGTTGGAGGATTAGTCGGTTTAAGTTCAAGTCATCAGTACTTCCTGGTCCACAAAAGAACTGAATTCATCCGTTGAATTTCATATGACTGAAAGTAAAGAAAGAAAAAAACAAACCTTATAACATCACCCATATTTCTGTCTCAAGAATGCTGCAGGTTCTGTCACTCCCCCTCTTTTTTACTAACCAAAATGTCTTTGATACTAACAGTTATCTTTTACTAAACACTACTGGCCATTTACGTAAAGGCATCCACTTCCCCAAAATGAAACAGGAGAAAGTGAATGCAACACTACCCCTGCTCCACTTCTCTCATGTCAAGCTAACTCTGCCCACTCCCTGCAATATTTACAAGCTGACTGCGCTTGTTCCCCTATGTACCCGAGCTAGTGTATCTGCAATCATTACCGCCCCTCCGGCTCCATTCACACATCTAGAGTAGCCTCTCTCTGGCATCTCGTTACATAGCTGACAGTAACTACCACCCACTCCACTCACTTTAACTCACCAAGGGGAATGACTGAGACTATTTTTGTGCAAACTCAGCTAACAAAGCAGTTGCCTTAAATGCACTTTCCCCTTTTTTTCCCCCCCGCTTGTATGTTCCTTTTTAACGATTGTTTTTTCAGGCTGTTGTTATTACCATGTAATGTAATGTATATATTGTTTCTGTTTTTATTTTACAGAGGAATTTTTTTTTTTTTTTTTTAATCTTTACCGTCTGTCTTCCAGTGAGAATTTAACCCCTCCTCCTACTTTCGTCTAGATTATTAAATAAACAGAAAAAAGGAGCAATGCTGTAAAAAATAAAAAAAAAAGACATTATGGCCTTTGACCTTGAAGGTTAAATTGTTTTCTTTTCACATCTTTATCACAGGTATGCTTGGTACCAGTTTTTGTGTTGAAGGTGAGCATTTTTAACCCTCCTTATATTTTTGCTTTCTTACATTTCTGCACCTTTCTGCTTTCTACATCCTGACTCCAAAAAATAAATTCACATACTTGAGTCTTAAATAATTATATCAGGTAAAAGACGTTTTAGATATTTATCTCATTTCTTTATTTATCCTATGTACAATTTACCTTATAAGTAATCATATTTGAAAATGCTCTGCTTAGTGTTTTGTGGGGGAAAGGGAAGAAACTCATTTTAACATTTGGTTTGAAATGATTAAGATAAGATTATTATCTGTGTCCTGTTTTTTATCCATCTTTTTAAAAAGCATCTCAATGTGTTACTTTTTTTTTTTTGCTGTCAACTGTTGCCTCACAACAAATTCCATTTAGTAGCTGCTCTGGCACTTTCGATCATGTCTCACAGTCTTCCTCAGAAGATGGTCTGTTTTTATTGGAGTTATTAGATGTTAAAATGTTATTCTTTTTTGGAGCCTTTTCATCCATGTTGGCTGAAATGTTGAAACTGAAAGTGTATTCTTGATTTGGAAACAGCAGCTGATAAAACATATGAAAAAAAAGTCAATTTAAGCTTTTACCACTCCACAATAACAGGGCAGCTTCACCTGCTGAAGATCTTGTGATACATTCGAAAGCTCCAGAACAGCTACTAAACAGTACTTGTGATGAGACTGTTAGGTCAACAACTAATGACCTTTTAACCTATTGATTTTTATTATAATCTCTTATGTCTGGGGTAACCATGTTAAACGGGATATAGTTTAACAATATGCACTATTTTATTGTTTGTGTTGCACAGCTTTATTTATTGACTCGTGTCAGTGTCTGTCAGCAGCTGTCATCAGTTGTGCTGGTTAGTGGAGTTCTGCTTTGTTCAGGTCAGGAGGAGGGGAAATGGGCTTTGAGCTGCGGCTGGTATTGGTTATTCTTCCATCTGATGTGCTCTGCACATGTTTCATTCATAATCACTGGACAGAAACACCCGAGGTACTGGAGCCACTGTACATCCTTGGCCGGTCAAATCCTATAGTATTCTTCAGTGCAAATAATTTTTTGTGTGATATCTCAGAGCTTTCCAATCGATTTTGCAGCTCAATCATACAAACGCTCAGTGTTATGACACAGTTTGTGTGGTACATTATGAGAATCATAAAACCTTCCTTACTACACTGAAGCGGTGAACGCTCCAGTTGTCTCACAAGCTTGTTAAACAGTGGGCTTTTCCGCATTAGGATTTTTTTTTTTTTAAAGCTACGCAGGACACAGAGCAGAGTCAGTCCAGGATAACAGTCTGTCTTTTCACTTTGGTCATGACTGTCCTTGCCAAGCCAGACAAGAACAGAGGTCGAGCCAGATTTTGTGCAGTAGATCCGTCCTGCCAAAGGATGTCTGTCATAAAAACACTTCTATCTGTCCTCCTTTCACCATCCACACAGAGGTCACTGTCAGAGGTTACAGTGTGCACTGACTGAATCAATGCCTTCCAACACTAATTTAAATGGCAGAATAAAGTTTTAAATAAAAAAAAAAAAAAAAGGCCTAATGAAATGTGTTAGTATAGCATTTTTCCTGCAATCTACATTAAATTCTGCATATTTCTCTGTTTCTGAACACATAATCCTTTATGGCATATTTGTTGTGTGCTAATGGAAACAGCTTCCTCTGCAGAAAATCAACCGGAGGTGCTTTTCCAGCACAGACCTTCAGCTGAAACCTACTTGACAGAGCTGAGAGAAGGGGTGGATGGTTTGAACGTCATATTTTAATCATGAGTCATTCTGGATAACATGTAAACCTCTGTGCCACTGTGTGTTAGGGAGCCTGCCTAGCTGTAAGAGATCCTCAGAGTAACGTACACAGCACATCCTTGGAGGCTCTTTAACCTTATTTCAGCAGCAGCTGGTCAGCAGCCAAACCATCCCAGGCGGAAGCAGCTGCCCAGTCTGTTCTGTTCAGCTCTATAGCAACATTGACTTCATCACTCAACACTCCTATTAAACATGTGAGAGTGGCAACACACTTGTTTGCTTTCATCAAATATTTCAACAAGTTACAGTAAACTGCCAACTCGCAATGTACAAATATCTTAAAGTCAGTTAAAGGAGTGAAATGATTCTGCTGATAGAAGTGAAATTAGTAGGAAAGCATGTCAGCCATTATGAGGTACGTTGCAAAGCAGCTGAGGTGAGGTTTCTCCTTGCTCCTCTTCTGCTTTAACTTCAGGTCTTTTTCCCCTTTTTTTTTTTTTTGACTACATCGGAAGTACACACTTTATACTCTGTGTTTCTGAAAATATACAATATGAAATTAGTTTCATTACAGAGGCCAGAAAAAAAAAACGCGCCAATGAAGATGAGCCAACCAGAGCCGCCAAACTAAATATACTGTAGGTGTGAGGGCAGACTGGTGGAACCGGTAAACTCGAGTACAGGTGTGCTCTCAGACTAAACATATTAATGGCTGCTATGCTTAAAAAAAAAATTAAAAAAAATCCTACTGTGCTACCAAGGGATTACATTTTGGTTCAGAAAAAACACATTCTTTTAACAGAACACACACAACCCGGAAAAAAACACAGGTG